ACAAGACTTTTACTTATATTAATTCTATTAATGCGCTATCTTTGATATCGATCACATTTATTGCAAAGAATACTTGCCTTAAAGGTCTTTTCCTTCAATATCCTACTGACGGGCAGAATTTTCGGCTTCATACTATCTTTGACATATATATATATATATATATATATATATATATATATATATATATATATATATATATATATATACAGTCGGAGGAAACAAATATTCGTACACATACAAATTTTTAATTTATTGTATTTCCAATTAATGAATAAACTCACTTTTCATAAAATTAACTGTACACAGATGCATAATAACTAAATATAATAGAAAACAGAAAAATAATTGATTTAATAGAAATAAAACCTATTTATCCATTTTAATGGGTGAAAAAGTATTCGTACAATACAAAAAAGAATACATAATCTTCATTTAATAGTAGCCAATATTTACTTCTGCAGCAACCAACCTCTTGTAGTTCTCAATTAATTATTTGTAAATTTTACTTGGTATTTTGTTCCATTCTTCATCGCATATCGTCTTCAGATCCAGGATGTTTGCTGGAGCTCTCGATTGGATTTGAATTTTCAAATAACGCTACAGATTCTCGATTGGGTTTAAACCTTGGGACTGACTTAGCCATTTCAGGATACATGCATTATTTTCAGCAAGCCATTTTTTCGTAAATTTTGCAGTGAGCTTAGAATCATTATCTTGTGGAAGATCCAGTCAAGAGGAAGTTCAAGATTTTCCACCGAAATCATTAAATTTGCTTCCAAAATATTTTGATATACTGCAGCATTCATTCTACCATCTATTACTGATATGTTACCAGTACCTCTAGCAGAAAAAAAAAAAACATCCCAAACCATGATTCTGCCACCACCAAATTTCACTATTAGATTTGTGTTCTTTTGTTTTAAGACATCGCCATCTTTCCTCCATACATGTTTTCTAGAATTACGTCCAAACAACTCACTTTTGGTTCGTCTGTCCATAATACTCTTTCCTAATACGATTTTTCTTTATCCTTATATTCACGAACGAATTTCAACCTGGCATTTCTGTGTCTTCAATAGCAGTGGAGTTTTCCGAGGGGAGCGTGATTTAAATTGTTCCTATGAATTTCATTGCTTATTGCCCGTTTTGTGACAAAGATTCTTGATGAAAGCAAATCATCCTGCAACTCTTGACGAATAACCATTGAATTTTGTTTCATTTGACGCATTAATTTCCTCGAAGGTCTTGAAGAAATCTTTTGTGGAGCACCTGTTCTTCTTTAGTTTTCAACAGTTTTGAGTTGTTTTTATACCTTGCAATGAATGAACTAATGGTAGTAAATGGAAATAGTCAGGTTGTCTTTACCTCTTGCCATGATGATAACATTGCACTAATATCAATTACAGAATGTTCTGTTTGTATTTTTTTAAGGCTAAAAATAACTACTGGTAATATTAGTGGAATATTCTAGAATATTCTACTTGAATAATCTAGAGTATTGAAGCAATTGAAAAGTTTAAAAATCTGAAATTTGCATTGTACAAATATTTTTCACCCATTAAAATGGATAAATGGGATTTATTTCTATTAATCCATTTTTTTGTTTTCTATGCATATTTAGTTATTATGCATCTGTGTACAGTTAATGTATGAAAATTATGTTTATTCTTTAGTTGGAAATACATTAAATTAAAAATATATATGTGTAGGAATATTTGCTTCTCCCCACTGTCTGTCTATCTATCTATCTATCTATCTATCTATCTATCTCTCTCTCTCTCTCTATATATATATATATATATATATATATATATATATATATACAACAAACATTTTTATACCATTCGCTGATGCTTCGAATATTGATGCCACATGTCTGGTGTTCCTGCTATATATTTAGAGATTGGTCACGGATGCCAGGTCAGTGGCATCCTGGCTCCAGACACTTCCCCACTATTGTAATGTCACTTCTTTGTGCCTTGTCTAGAAATACTTTCATCATAATTGATCTGATGAACTTTCCTGAATGGCACCCAAACTTTATGAATTTTTACACAGTACTAGATTGGCAACAATTTCTCGTCAATTTGCAGTTGAAAGTTCTTTGCTAACAGCCTCTTTTATTGCACTTCTTGTCTGTGCCCCCCCCCCGAGTTTCTTGCTATCCAGCCAACTTCGATTTTCAAAAATCTTCTTGATTCATCTTTTATTGTTCTCGCTCCTTAATAATGTTTTATTCTTTCATACTCACTAACCCCTTGTAACTTAGTGGCTTTATTGCCTTATTTGGAGTGCAATCATTAAAAGAAATCAACCAGGTATTTCTGAACTATAAGTTTTTTTTTTTTTAAGGCAAGTAGTTCTTATTATTATATCACTAAAAATGTACATTTAATTTTACTTATTACGACTATATATATATATATATATATATATATATATATATATATATATATATATATATATTTGTAGATTATTTTATCAGTAAATAAAATATATTTTAATCGTGTTCCATAACTTTTCCTCCTCATCTTTTTTTCATTACTGTCTTTTTTTCGTTATAAATTACGCCAACGTTTTCCTTCCGACGAAGTGTTGGCCGAAAGGAATACTAAAAGGAAAAAAAGTTCCGTGCTTTTTTTAATCCGACATATATATATATATATATATATATATATATATATATGTGTGTGTGTGTGTGTGTGTGTGTGTGTGTGTGTGTGTGTGTGCAAGTGTAACTCTTTAATACTGATGGGGGGGCTGAACTCATATTTTTAATGTCATATTGCTTCAGGGCATAGGCGATCATGTCTCGCCATGGATTTCTTTTCAATATGCGTAAATTGCTATGATATATTAATATATGATATAAAGTGCGTGGAATGGTTTCTCGTTAACTAATCTGCAGTTTTGAAGTCCACTTTCTCTTAGACAGGTATTCATCCGACATTATAGGCAGCAGTCTTCCCTGCTAATTTAACCCATATCGAGTGGAGTGGGTGAAGAAAAGATGGACTCATCCCTCTTCCAAGAGCATAGCGCGAAAGTGAAGACGACAGTCTGGCGATAATACTAAACTGGCCCAATGGATTAACCTGCTAATCCTCTTTCGTCTTATGATGATTTATTAAGATTAGCTTAGTTGGTTGTTTTGTTTTATGGTATATCAACCTCAGTGGTTCATTTAATGCCAACATTTTTTTTTAAATAGATTCATAGCAATAGTTTGGTAAAAAAGGTGTTTATGTATACATATATATTTGAACCATTTTCAATTACTCATATTTTTGAGTACAATCCAACTTCTTTTAGAGAATTTACAATCTTGGACGGTTTTATTTTCGTAAAAAGTTTTTTAAATTTCGCACTTGGGAGATAATAATTTTTCCTTCAAAAATTATTGTTGGTAATAATTTTTTTTATTATTACAAAGTATTTCTGGTATTAAAACCTATTTTTACACAAGTTTGGGTGTAAACTATTTGCCTAACAGGTAGTACCACCCCGGATCAAGGTGGACCTAGGAACACCAGCAATTAAGAGGTGCTTCCACGCTCCTCAAAACCTCCTGATCAGAGGCCTTGCTGTTGGACGTAGTTTATCTTCTTACCCAGGACGCGGATGTAGTTTATCGTCATATCCAGGACGGAGATTAGCTTAGTCTGGTACAGGGTTATACATGCCAGATTCACCACATTTTCGAAATTGATCTTCTAGACAAACTAGTAAATCATTGCGCTACGGTATGCACCATAACACAGTGCACAGATATTTTACTTTTGATGCCATTTTAATGTCAACGGGATAAACACTTTTTTAAATTACGACTATGTAAACGCATTTTGACGTCAACTACATAGACACTTTTTAATGTCAACTACAGAAATGCCTTTTGATGTCAACTACGTAAATGACTTCTGATGTTAACTATATAAACATTTTAATGTCAACTATTTAAGAGCCTTATAATGCCAATAATGTAAACGCTTTATAATGTCAACTAATTTAAAAATCTTATAATGTCAACTAAGATTAACGCCTTATAAATTCAACTAATGTAAACGTCTTCTAATGTGAACTAAAATAAACGGCTTATAATGGGACTTAATATTAACGTCTTATAATGTCAATTAATGTTAACGCCTTATAATATGAACTATATAATATAAACTCCTTACAATCTAAACTAACGTAAACTTCTTATAATGTCAAATAATGTAAACGCCTTGTAATATCAACTTATATAATTGCCTTGTGGGTGATGAATTATTTTCCACTCTACAACCCACAGACGAAATGTCTCAAGCATCTCGCTACTCTATCGCTCAAAGATTCTGATGAGCTACATTCCTTAGATCCACCAGGTATGACATTCGGAATTGAGACACGCCATGTCACGTGAACATTTATATTCCATTAGTATGGAAGAAGTTCCATCCAGACAGCTTCTTTCTAGATACCGTTACTTTATGGAATAGGTTACCGAAGGGATGCTTTCCCGATCACTTCAATATTCACCTCTTCAGGACTAAAGTTATTTCTTGCGCATAACCTCACAAAAGGGACCTCTCACTTGCTCCTTCTCCTCTTACAACAATATCATTCAACAACCCTCTACCATGAGTGACTCTTGGGCCTTATATTGAGAGAACACTAGAAAAAATAATATCAACTACATAAACGTCTTTTAATGTCAACTACGTAAACGCCTTTAAATGTCAATGTATGTTAATGGCATCTACATAAATGCCTTTTAATGTCAACTACATAGACGTCTTTTATTATCAAATATATAACCGTTTTTCCTTTTGCTTAATCATGATGTGCATTTTCCTCCATCATCTCGATTTTTCTGTTCAAATTTGAAGAAGCAGAATGTTTAATTTGTCTTAAAGCGTTTTTGATAAACGTCGTTAATGATTTAAATATCACGATGGAACAAGTTGAGACAAACTTTTAGGTGAAGAAACCTAAAGCAAGTCTTTCAACTGTCTGCTACTTTAAGATTTTCCTGAAAGAGAGAGAGAGGGGGTGCGAATAAGAATTGATTTATAACAGAATACATAATTTTTTTGGAGAATCCTTACAATGGGAAATTTTGTGTGAAGAAATTTAGAAGGAAAGAAGGAACGAACGAAGGAACGAACGAACAAAAAAGGAATGAAAGAAAAAAAGGAAAGAAGAAAGGAAAGAAGCAACGAAGGAAAGAAGAAAGGAAAGAAGAAAGGAAGGAAAGAAGGAAGGAAAGAAGAAAGAAAGGAAAGAAAGAAAAAAGGAATGAAGACAGGAAGGAAGGATAAAAGGAAGGAAAGAAGGAGCAAAGGAAGGGACGAAGACAGGAAGGAAGGAAGAAACGAACGAACGAAAGAAGGAACAAAGGAAGGAACGAAGGAAGGAAGGAACGAAGGAACGAAGGAGAGAAGGAAGGAAAGAAAGAATGAATGAAGGAAGGCAGGAAAAAGGGAAGCAACGAAGGAAAGAAGGAACGAAGAAGAGAAGGAAGGAACGAACGAACGAAGCAAGAAAGTAAGAAGGAAGGAAGGAAAGAAAGTAGGAAGGAAAGAAAGAAGGAAAGAAAGTAGGAAGGAAGGAAAGAAATAAGAAAAGCAGGAAAGAAAGAAAGAAAGAAAGAAAGAAAGAAAGAAAGAAAGAAAGCAGTTTCCTAATTTCTTATCACAGCCGAATGAAATGTAAATGATATAAAAATAAAAAAAACTGCTTTACATTCCCTTTACAATCTTCCCGGGAATCTTTTTTTAGTCACAATATTCTAAGACTCACTTTAAACCAAGAGTTATTTTAAACTGAATGTATAACTCATAGACTAACATTACGGTTACTTTACCTAACTTCTAACGTTAACACTAAACTTATGGTCATGTTTGCCCAATTTCTAATGATAATGTTATCTGTACCTATTCAATCCCTACTGTTATATTTGCCTAAAACCTAATCCTATTCCTCGGGTTATCTTTAAACTCTAATCTTTACCTAAATTCTAACATTAGGGTCATCTTTACCCAAATTCTAACATTAGAGACATCCTTTCCTAAATTCTAACGTTAGGGTCATCCTTACCTAAATTCTAATGTTAGGGTCATCTTTACCTAAATTCTAACCTTAGAGCCATCCTTACCTAAATTCTAGCGTTAGGGTCATCTTTACCTAAATTCTAACCATAGAGCCATCCTTACCTAAATTCTAACGTTAATGTCATCCTTACCTAAATTCTAATGTTAGGGTCATCTTTACCTAAATTCTAACCATAGAGCCATCCTTACCTAAATTCTAACGTTAGGGTCATCTTTACCTAAATTCTAATGTTAGGGTCATCTTTACCTAAATTCTAACCTTAGAGCCATCCTTACCTAAATTCTAGCGTTAGGGTCATCTTTACCTAAATTCTAACCATAGAGCCATCCTTACCTAAATTCTAACGTTAGGGTCATCTTTACCTAAATTCTAATGTTAGGGTCATCTTTACCTAAATTCTAACCTTAGAGCCATCCTTACCTAAATTCTAGCGTTAGGGTCATCTTTACCTAAATTCTAACCATAGAGCCATCCTTACCTAAATTATAAGGTGAGGGTCATCTTTACCTAAATTCTAATCCTATAGTAAACTAATACTGAGAGAATTAGAATTCCTACAAGGATTCATTATTCGCAGCGACAATCTTAACAATATAAAATATGCAGATTGTAGCAGACACAGAAAGAAAACTAGAGAAACTTCTACAGAAGATAGCAGGAAAAAAAATGGATTAAGCACCAATTTTAAGAAAAAGAACAGCTCTGCATGCAAAGTACAAATGAGAGACACCAAAATCACATAAGGACAGAAATTTAAGGACTAAGGAATGCTTTCACAGAGGACGTAGAGGGCGACACTGAAATCGCATTGGAATAACGAAAAGATGCCTTCTAAAAGCTAAGCAAAGCATTAAGAAACAGAAAATATAGTTAGAAATAAAGGAAAGAGTACTGTACTGTCATGTAATATCAGTCCTCCTGTATGGCAGTGAATGCTGGACCATTTCCTCCCATGAAGGTTCAACAGAAGGATGCTGAACTGAACATGTCAGCAACGACGAACTTTGGGAGAAAATGGAAGCAAAATATCACATACTTAAAATCAGAATGTGAGTTGAAATTTCTAGAGCAATAAAGAAAAAGGTTTTAGAAAATATGACACATGTGTATGTGTGCGTGTGTGTGTACAAGAGAGAGAGAGAAAGAGAGTGTGTTTAAAGTTAACCCTAGGGTTAAGTTTAGACTTTATGTTAGAAAGTAGATAAAGATTAAAAGACTGAAAGGGTTAGGATTTGATGCTAAGTAATGGTTAAATACTGAAAGCGCTATGGTTAAATGTTAGGTAATGATAAAATGACTGAAAGGGTCAGGGTAGAAGTTAGGTAATGATTAAAAGACTGAAAGGATTAGGATTAGTTTTTAGGTAATAATTAAAAGACTGACAGATTTAGGGTAGATGTTAGGTAATGATTAAAATACTGAAAGAGTTGGTGTAGATGTTTGTTAATGATTAAAAGACTGAAATGTTTAGGGTCAGATGTTAGGTAATGATTAAAATACTGAAAGAGTTGGTGTAGATGTTTGGTAATGATTAAAAGACAAATGTTTAGGGTCAGATGTTAGGTAATGATTAAAAGACTGAAAGAGTTGGTGTAGATTTTAGGTTACTATTAAAATACTGGAAGTGTTAGGGTTAGTTGTTAGGTAATGATTAAAAGACTGAAAGGGTTAGGATTAGTTTTTAGGTAATAATTAAAAGACTGACAGATTTAGGGTAGATGTTAGGTAATGATTAAAACGCTAAAAGTGTTGGGGTAGATGTTCGGTAATAATTAAAATAGTGAAAAGGTTAGGGTCAGTTTTTAGGTAAAAAAGACTGAAAGAGTTTGAGTTAGTTGTAATGATTAAAAGATTGAAAGTGTTAGGGTAGATGTTATAAAATGATTAAAAGACTGAAAGGATTAGGATTTGATGTTAGGTAATGGGTTGGTGTACATGTTTGCTAAAAGACTGTGTGTGTGTGTGTGTGTGTGTGTGTGTGTGTGTGTGTGTGTGTGTGTGTGTGTGTGTGTGTGTGTGCGCGTGCGCGTGTATGTTGCGTCATAATTTCATCTTTGGAGAAAACCTCTAATCATGGATTTATTATCCTATGTACTTATCATCCGCGGTGATTAGCATTCATTTTTTAGTACACTAACATACCCGCGTCTTTTTAGTACACTAACATACCCGTGTTTTAGTACACTAACATACCTGCGTTTTTTTAATTCAAAAAAATTTGATAAAAATAGAAATTATTGCTGACTCAACCTAATATATTATGGGTATATAAATCAAAACTAGTCTGTTAATATTCTCATAATTTCGAGAAACCCTACAACGAAGATACAGGAGTTTTCCGTCATGTCAGGATATTCTGCAATTTTAGACGTTATCAACAATACGAGAATTGGAATATTCTAAGATTACAGATCTCATGTGGTCAAATTCATGCGTGCATATCGCAGATAAATGCTCCCTTTCATTAAATCATAGTAGCCTTAATTTGACATGTGGTAAATTAATAGAAATGGTCAAAAAGTGATTAATTTTGTCTTTGATAATTAAAATAAAAGCTAAGAAATGCTTTCATTATTTTTTTTAAAATAATTTCCAAGCAAGCCGATTATGCCAGTAGGATTCAGGGTGGGGACTACAGGAAATGAAAAAGAAAATGAGAAAACTTTAGTGAGGAGAATTGAAGAAAGGACAATAAAGGAACACGATTCAGGAAGATAGAAGATGCCAATAGACGTTGCATTTAAAATTTTGAAGAGTGTATGTGTCAGGGAAGCAAGACGTCGGAAGAAAATTCCACAAATGAGATAGGAGACAATTAAAATAGAACAAATAGTTGTGTCTAGCTAGTTCAACAGTAAAACGGTGAGACCTAGTTGCCACTCTAGTAGCACGCTTAAATTCATACGGTCATGGTTACAAGGAGGAAAGCAATATTTTTTTTGCGTAATACAAGGCCAAAAGGGAGCGAATAGGGGAAGGCTGGTCTTCAATCTGTCTTATCTTAAACTTAGCTAGCAACAATTACTGACATAAACATACTACAGTATTCCTTACACTAAAACAACACACTTACCATTTTTCTACAGCCAGCATAATACCTCAAAGTATCGAAATGATTTGTTCTTATAAAAAAAAAAAAAATGAAAAAATAAGTTTCTTCTTTCTCACTCTACTTGTCTAGTTTCGCCATATTTGAAGTATGTTTTGTGACACAAAAAATATTAAGCTAAATTTTGATATCACTCAACTCAGATCCTTCCAGTTTTGTCGATTTGCTTTCTACGCATGCGCAGGGGCAGGCGTGAAACTTGAGAAAACAAATTTTTAAAAAATCAGAAAAGTCAAAATTAAAAGAAAGGTAAAAAAAAAACCAACATGGAGAATTGTTATACTTAAAATGTTGATCGATCTAAAGGGTTATTTAGTTTGAGATTGTCATCGTTTTTTTTTTTTTTTTTGTTTTTTTTTGTCTTCAGTTTTCGTTATCGCTTATATAAGCGACCATTTTTCCACCAATTATTTTTGTTCTTCTAAACTGGTACGAATGTGTAAATTTTCTAACAGATGTCTACGTGTGAAAACTAATGAGAAACGCCTGTAAACGAACCTTTGGTTAAGTGCTAACACTTTCCATTACAAGTATAATGAAGTTTGATGATAGATAACACTGAGGATGCACACGTACCAAGCCTGCTTCATCATCGAATCACATAACCCGGTAATGTCGTTCAAAGCAAGAAACGATGAAATGACAGATTTAAAACGTGAACTGGAACTTGTCATTCATCTGAAGCTTCTACGTTTAAAGAAATTGTTTGACGTTAAAACTTTTTTTCGGAAATCAAAGTAAGATTTTTGTATAGAAAATATATACAACAAACTGTAGTTAGACTTTACTGCAGAATAGTCTTTCCTTCCCAATTATTTCGTACACGAAGACATAGTCTGTCTGTTTATCTGATGAAAGCATAACGTGTTCTTTCATATAAGGAATTACAGAAGTGATGAAATACTTATCTTATTAAAGTCTCATGTATCTTTTTTTACGAAAACTAACCCGATAAGAGGTTTGAGGGCCACTGAACGTAGACGGTTACAGTAGGAGGTGCTTAATAATATTTTTTTAATTATTTCATTCCGAGAAAGGCGATAATGCCACAAAGACGATGGGGCTATTGAGAGTGATGGTTTGGTTTGTTTTACGGCATAGCAACCTCAATAGGTTATTTAATGCCGACAAAATTTTATTGTTGGTAATATTTTTTTAAAATCTATTTCTGGTAATATTTTTCCTTCAAAAATCTATTTTTGGTAATATTTTTTCTACAAAAAATTTATTCCTGGTAATATTATTTCTTCAAATATGTATTGCTGGTAATATTTTTTAAAAAAATGTATAGCTGGTAATATTTTTTTTCAAAAATGTATAGCTGCTAATTTAAAAAAAAAATGTATAGCTAGTAATAATTTTCTTCTTCAAAGATTTATTGGTGGTAATACTTTTTTACAAAGTATTTCTGGTATTAAAACCAATTTTTTTTAACTTTCATAGTGTTTTGACCCCCAGTTTAGGGTT